CTAGCAAGGAGATCGGGCTGAAACTATAGCTACAAGCTATCCAAGGATGGTACTATAGAATGTCACCTCAAGGTAGGCCTAGTGGCGTCATCTCTTGGTTAGGCCGGAAACTTATCAATCCACCCTCGTATATAAAATATTTTTTTTTCCAAAAACCTCATGAAGGCAAAGCTGAAGTTATATTTATGATTAAAAATTGAATGATTTTGTATATAGTAAAAGTTTACTTAATATTCAATCGGTAGGGTAGTCTCTAGGATTTCAAACAATTTTTTATTTTTTTTTTAGAAACATTATACGCGAGAGGCAGACCTAGGTTTTACGAACAACGGGTAGCTAATGAAGTCGAGAAAATCCTTAAAGATAACGGCCTGGCCGATATTAAACGAACATACATCTATCAGGACGAAGATGACTGCTTTTAAAATAACAGTAAAATTCGTGAAATTTGTACGAAATGAATTAATGTTAAATCTGTTAGCAATGTGAATGAATTTTTTTTAACCAATTCCTTCCCTTTTTGAATAAAAAAAAAATAGTACTTAAACACTTGAATTTATAAAAAGAAAGATTAAATAAGTGGAAAAGTATGCGTTTGTTAACGCTAAATGCAGAGAAATTTTTATCTTTAATCAGATTAACATTGATAATTTAGTGTTAGTTTCCAAAATTAAGATGTGTGAACCATTCAAGTTCCTTAAAAATGCAAACTTGCCATTCATAAGATAACCCGCTTTGGGTTGAGAAATAGCACTCCAGAGTTTTGAGGCGGAGAAAGCAGCTCCAAAGTAGTCTACGCTGGTTTATGTTAACAGATATATTCAAAGGCTACCAAGCGACCACCACAATCTACCACATTACTAACACAATTTGAGTATATAGCTAAAATTCTAAAGTTTCTTAAAACGCATACATAATTAAACTAGTTTAATACACTGGTACACATTCATTGAATAATAATCAATTCGACATAATGACAAAAAGACAATAAAATTAATAATAAGGAGAGATGCACATTTACGAAACGGGGAAAGTCTCAGAGGATTATCAACGGAACGTAGTAGTAACCTAACCTAAGAAGAGGGGCGCGGATAGGTGCGAGAAATTTCGAACAATTAGCTTAACTTCCCATGCGTCAAAAATCTTAACTAGAATTGTACAGAGGAGGATGGAAAAAAGGGCGGAAGAACTATTAGGGGAAGATCAATTTGAGTTTAGAAGAAATAGAGGAACGCGGGCGGCTTTACAGGTAGCAATAGAGAAAACGATAGAAAAAGGAAAGAGTGCGTACATAGGATTTGTAGATTTAGAGAAAGCTTTTGACAATGTTAAATGGGACAAGATGTTAAATATACTTAAAAATGTAGGGATGAATTACAAAGATAGAAGAGTGATACTTAGTTTGTATAAAGAGCAACAGGCAGTTATAGAGCTGGGGATGCAACGTAGAGAAGTAAATATTAGGAAGGGAGTCAGGCAGGGATGCACACTGTCACCGCTACTTTTTAATCTATACATCGAAGACGCCATCAACATCATTAAAGACAGTACAACTGTAGGGATAGATGTGCAAGGGCAAAAGATTAGTATGCTTAGATTTGCAGATGATATAGCAGTATTAGCATCTAGCAAGGAGGACCTAGAGATAGCTTTAAATAAAATGGAAGCGGTACTGACAGATCAGTACTGTATGAAAATAAATAAAAGTAAAACTAAAATACTGATATGCAAGGGAAGAAAAAGTAGGGAAAGAGCGAATATAAAGATAGGAGACGAAAAATTAGAAGAAGTGGCTGATTTTAGATACCTAGGAAGTCAGATAAGTGAGGATGGAAGGAGTAGTAGGGATATAAAGCAGAGGATAGCGCAGGGTCGTGTCGCCTTTAATAAAAAGAAGTCACTTCTATGCTCGCGAACGGTTAATTTAGAAATTCGAAAAAGGTTGTTAAAGGTGTATGTTTGGAGCACGGCGTTGTACGGGTGCGAAACATGGACAGTGGGAGCGGCGGAAAAGAAAAGGTTAGAAGCGTTCGAAATGTGGTGTTATAGGCGGATGATGAGGATATCGTGGGTAGAAAAGGTTAGAAATGAAGAGGTATTGGAAAGAATAGGAGAACAGAGGACTCTATGGAAGTCAATAAAAAATAGGCGAGATAGGTTGGTAGGACACCTTCTCAGGCATGAAGGTCTAGTCAGAGACATATTAGAGGCAGAAACAGGAGTTAGGAGGGGTAGAGGTAGACCTAGATTAGATTACTGTTCGCAAATAGTTAAGGATGTGGGCTGTTCTAGTTTTAGGGAAATGCGAAGTTTAGCTCAGGATAGGAAAGAATGGAGGTGCATGGCCAACCAGTCTTAGGACTGATGACCTTATGATAATGATGATGAAGGAGAGATGCAAGTATTCTACTTACTAGGAAATACATCAACGTATTAAACATTTTTAACCCTATATTAAAAAGAAAGCGCACAAAACATACAGATTTGCAATTAAAAATAATTACTACATAAGTTTTCATAACATAGGCCGAAACATGGGAGATGATTGCACATTTCCGGTGGAGAAAAAAACATATTGTTCAATGCCTACCTAATAAGGTTAATTAATTTGATTTATTTATCAATTCAATAAAAATGCTAAATGTTCGAGAGATGAAAGATTTCTAAGAATAAACAGCTTATCGTTCGATACGATTAATTGATTTTATTTATCAACTTTTTTACAAATACAAATAAAAATGCAAAAGAAGTGCCGCTCTTTATAATAACCAATATTCAATTACTGTATAAGGCGGCCCATACATTAAGCACTGTAAAATTCATCAATTTTTTTACCTCCTCACCCCCCCCCCCCACGTAACACTGTTACGGTAACAGGGCCATAACGCTCGGTTAAACTAGCTCTCTCCCCTTTCAATTACAACCGCTAAGTGGTTGAAAGATTAAAGATTTCCGAGAAGCAACTTATGTATTGTTCGATACGATTAATTAATTAATTGATTTGTAGAAAAAACTTTTGTTCATACATATATACCCGTCTAGAAAAATACAGAGCCATAACACTTTGCGAGCAACACTTTACAAGTAGCTAGTAAAAATGTTTAGGCAACTTTTCGCGATTGTTTTTCTTGCATTAATTTCTTTGTCTTATTCACAATATGTCTCTCGAGGCCAGTGTGAAGACAGAAAAATAAAACCAGTAAAAAATTTCCTAGGAATTGGCGAAGTAAGTTGACTTAATTTTAAATTAGCTTTTACTTATCACTTCGCTCACGTGATTTTTTAATTTAATTAAAAACGAGGAATGAAGAAAATTAAGCAATAAATCAATGTGGAAAAAAAGTTGCCTCAATGTGTAGTCTTGGGTTTTTAGTGCAATCCGGGTTTCGAGGTAGCCAAATGTCCGAGGTTTTAGAGTTTGATGACTGGCTTAGGTTATTTGATTGTAATTGTACATGATGATATTTTATCTTTCACTGTTTCTAAAATGGCTGAGTTTGTGATGTCTGTATCTTGGATGTTTGCTCCAATTGAGAGATTTTATTTAAGACTTTCAGTAACAATTCGGAGCCTTCTTGTTGTATATTTGATAATTAATTGAATATTTGAAATAGTAAAGCGAAACTTAATAAGTGCAATAGGGTTAGGTGCAATATTTTACGAGTCGGAGCATGGAATGTTAGGACGATGAGGGAAGTAGGGAAATTGGAAAATTTAACTGTTCGCAAATAGTTAAGGATGTGGGATGTTCTAGTTTTAGGGAAATGCGAAAATTAGCTCAGGATAGGAGACAGTGGAAGTACGTGTTCAATCAGTTTTAGGACTGACGACCTTATGATGATGAGTCGATTTTTTAATTTCCCTATATGTACCCATATTAAATAACTGCCACGGTTTATCGTTTGCCAAGAATTGGCAAAATTGCACCAAAACAAGAAAAAACTGATTTTTCTTCATCGAAATATTTTTGCCTAGATAATTCTTTGCCTAACCCTAAAAGTTTTCTGCTTAATCTTATAGAAGTTCCCGCAATGTATTACTTTTCCGAATCTACTGTGTCATTCACATTTTCTTTCTGCGTTTTATGATTTCCACATTTAATTTTAATTATAATGGTTTTTCGCTTTCGCAATGTGAAGCCCGAGTGAATTTTACCTTCAATTAATAATTTTTCTTTGTCAATTGATGCATAACGTAAATTTAAAAATAGCACACCGAACTTTTTACGCTAAAGCGTAAACAGACATACAAATAATATTTTAAGGGTCAGTTGTACCTTAATATGACACAAATAATATACAGACTTATATAAGAGGTGGTTATTTTGATATATTGCAGACAGTTACTTCAGTATTATTTATAAAAGTAG